ATTCAACGTTTCCTCAAAAATCTCTAAAAAGTTGAATCCACAAATCTCTCAACAGAGTTGATAAAATAATGTTCTGGAGTGAAAGATCATTCCTATATAGAAATAACTATGTGGCAAACTCAAGATGCACTCTGGCTTTCTACACTTTAAAAAAAAATCTTTATTTGTATTTCTTTTGCAATAATTAAAGACAAAACATGAAAAAACAGGCATGTTCAAGCAGATAAGGAAGTGCTTGATATCATGTGGAGAGAAAATGTACAGGGGATGGGTTACATCATATTTATACGTCCATAATTCTGAGTTGTGCAAACACCAGAGTCCATTCTTTGGCTGTTTTACAGAATGAAGTGAAAGTTAAAATAAATAAATAGACAATAACATATATACACAGTTCATGAGCAGAGTTTACAGACACAAGAACGTAGCACACTGAACATACAGCGCTGGGAGTAGCTATAAAGCAAAACACAGATAAACGAGGAGATTCACTGCTCCGCTCAGTTTACGGAACAGACAGGATAAAGATTTGCGCTGCGAGATGCACATCAAACAAATGTTACTGTTATTTGCAAACATCAGACTTGAACAGGAAAAACAAAATATTTAAGACAATCGCTGTTCCCCCAATTTACTCTCATGATTCCTTCTTTTGTGTGACCAGAGGGATAATTTTGCTTCATAAAACTTCTAAACATCAATACTTGGTTTCACATGGAGGGTAGACAGGGCCTGATGCAACTTGCATAAGTGAGCGTACAGGGCTGCATGACTTTAATTTAAAGCTCTCTTGGGTGCCGTCTGGCGGCCATGTGGGGCCCTTGGCAGGCGGTTAGTTTGCTTATGCATCAAGTAACTGAGATGGAGCTATGAACTATAGCTCCACTTCCTCTACTGTCATCCAGCCTGATCTCGACTGTGACAATGCTCTCAGGAGCCAGGCAGGAGAGACACATGATGGAGCAAGATCCAGAGTGTTGTAGCTAAAAAACCTGGGAGGTGACATGTGATGGAATATTCTGATTAGGGTGCAGCTCTAGTTAGCAGCCAATGGACTGTGGACTTTATCTACACATGTATCAACCCCCTTAGGGGAAAGAGAGATAAAAATAACCTGACAAAGTTGTTGTGGAGATAAGATTTGATCTCCCATGTTAACAGATCCATCCCCATAACAACTGAGCAAACTCAATCCACTAATGGAGCCTATGTAACCCTCGAAAAAGATTTAGTAAGTGCATCTTGAGATGCATTTGCTTTACGCAGACACAAGAATGTTTATCACAAGGCTTTAGTACTGAATTGTAAATGTTTCACAGGATTTGTGTCTACCTTACACACTGTGGTAAAATACTTATATCCTTATAATGCACTCGTACTATTAATGGTGTTGTGGTGGTTGTGTAACTAAACAATAGTTGGAGACAGTGTTTATCTCCAGGGCAAATGGGAAAGTTCTGTCTGCAGGCAGAACCTTTGTTAAAGATTCATATGACTTTTGCCATGAATTGGTTTTAAGAAATGTAGAAGGACGAGTGACAATGCGATAAAGTCTCCCCACTCTGCACTTCTCACCTCACACACTCACCACAGTTCCCCCTTTTGTTTAAAAACACCTCTACTTTTAGATGCTCTCCCATGCATAACGGAACAGGCACCATTTTAGTCACAGCAGCTGTCCAGCAAAATTTACTACAGCCGGGGGAAGTAATGCCCACTTATCTCTCTTGTACACAAATGTAGTCGATTTACGGGAATGCCTACTTGCTATTCAATATTTATGGTCAAATAAAATGGCAGGAATGGAGGTTTGAAAGTGGAGGAGGCAGGGAGGGAACCGATTCTGAAATATGCATGAGTGCACATGTGCAGCACTGGCTATGTTGACGTGCACCGCAGGTCTGTGCTGAAACGAGTTAAAGCTGAGTCACCGGGAGGAAGAAGTATTGGAAAATGTAGGGGACACAAAGGTGACCACTCAGATTTAATCAGAGATTTTCACTCCCAGGTTCACTCATACTTAAGATCTGTGGTTGTGCAATCCAGTGTAAAGTGCTGAGGGCAGGGCGTTTTCAAATGAGAATGTACTTCTGCTCGCATGGTTAACTTTATTTCCTAACAAAGTTGATACACAGTAAGTGTTCCAGTAAGTCAGAGATGTCTTCTAATTTGTCTGCAAACGACCTCTGAATAGACTAAACGGATTTAAAAAATTAAACTCAAGGTGAGGAAGAGGTGGTTGTGTATATTCCAGAAGTACACAAAAGTCTGGAGAAATCTGTCAAAGTAGCAAAATATCTGAGCGCAGGCCCAGAACAAATCTAAAAACAAGCAAGGTACATTTAAACAAAGGGTTCTGAGTGAAAGAATTTTGAAAAAGTGAACGTGACATCAATATCTTCAAGACCACGCTCTTGAATAAAGATTTTTTTTAAAACATAATTTATGTAAACATCATAATCATAGTAATGTCCTGCTCAGAATAAATTCAATAAGCGTCCATGTAAACGTATCAATGGTATCATTTCACTTCTTTCCATTTAAATCCTTCATTAATGTAAGAGTCATATGCGGCTGACTTTAGTTTTTTACTCAGGATTATTTTTATCAGCCGATATTTGTGGGTTTAGTTTAACCACACTTGACGTTGGTTGAGAAGAAAAACTATGAAACGACAACACACTGTGATTGTAGCACAGGAACCACTTGGAGTGCCCTGCTTCGCTCACTTAAGTGCTATCACACATTTCACCGAGGTACCAACCTGACTAGTCACTTACCAGCTCCATTTAAAGTGAATGAGTAAAGAGAAGGGCATGGAATAAGGCAAACAGTGTAACAGTGCTTTCTTCTAGAGAATCATTAAACTCTTCATGATTACAGCCCTAATCCACGATTAGTGCTCAGCTCCTCACGGCCCTAACCTTCAGATCTACTCCAACCATCAAGTCTACATTGTAACATGCTCCATTTACACTCAGTCGTCATTAAATAAGGGCAATGGGCCAATTTCAAACTTTGATTCATCACATCATGTGGTCGGTAAAGTTTATCTGCAGCGCACCAGAATTTCAATCGGCCACAAGGTCCAATTTTGTGGGGCATTTATTCAGCCCAACATATTCTTTTAATTCGAGAGCACTGAAAATTACGTGTGTGGGCATTTCCCAACATTTAACAGCAAACACATTTCCAACATTTAACTGTGTTCATTTATTTGAGAGACAGTTTCATGAAAGAGATCAACGCTGGCTTTGCAGAAAGGAACAGCTAAGTCTGCGATAGCTGTGTTTCGGTTTCGAAGTTGAGGGGAGAATATATTTGAGCCAGATGAAGAGAAATGGAGGGAAGCTGTTAATCCAAATGTTTATCCACTGTCACCTGGGACAGCACAGATGTGTGTGCGTGCATGCATGTGTGTGGATACTACCAGCTCTACTGGGAATGTCACAGCAACACAAAAGCCTTTTCACGTTGTCACCACATGCGTACAACCATGTCCCCACATGTTTCAGTGCCTCACAGAAATGTGTCTTTTTATAGAGATGCTCACTTCATGGCTTCCACTATATTTCATTAACCCTACACTGTGTATGTTGGCTTTAAGAAAATTCAATTTTGGCATGTATGTGGTGGATGTACACTGTGATACAGAGCTGAGCCCAAATGGGAATTAAGTGTGGGTTGTTAGTGATGCCTTGTATTTAAAGGTCACAGATATGCTGCACACCATATTATGATGATTCCAGTTTCACGCCTGTACTACTGAATTCTATAGAACGTGATTGGCAGGCAGTGCCTTGGAGAATAGGAATATATATAGGATACAAATAAATAAATGCAAATGCAATTGGTGTTGATAGGGTGGAGTGTGACATGATTGTAATATTTGACACGTGTCAGAAACAGGATCCTCTCCCATCCGACTCTGATTTGAAGCGCGAGGAGGAGGATCACGTCAAGAAGACGTGTCGTTCATCTCCTTCCTGAACGTGTGGCTCAGCAGTCATCACGATGCCTTGCACATTCAATTTCCTGTGTTTAAATCTGACAAACAGGTTTTGTTTTCATTTTGCCTTTACCAAACTGAATATGATAATGTCACTTGGGAATTGCTAGATGAATAGATTTCCATGGTGCCGTCAGCTTTTTTTGCAGAGGAGATGAATTGAACAGTAGGCAATACAGTACAGCATTTATTATAATGAAATCATCTCCTTTCTGCTGTTCAGAGAAGATATGCTTCGAAAATAGAGTTGCAAACCAAATTGGATTAGAAACGGTGGACATTTTGTTCGGTATCTCTTCAATTTCACAGTGCGCATACGAATGTTTGTTTCTCTGCAGGTTTGTGTGTGCGTGTCTTTGTGTGTGTTCGTCTGCTCCAATGCTGTTAGATTCTTCAGGTATCAATATTCATGTTGGATCAAAGCATCTGTTAAGTTCTCTGTTTGACCCCTCTTCTGCATCAACAGCAAAAGTTTCATTTCCTGCTTTAAAGGAACAGTCACAGTTGTCATATCAGCGACTACAGTACACTTCAGGTTCTAACCACTGTTACAGTTTCACGACCTAGGTGCTGAAGTAACACAGGTGAGAAACAAAATCGCTCTCTGCTCAGATCAGTTATTTCCGGTCGCTGTTACACAATCCAGTCTTTGACTGCATGTAAAGAGTGTGTGAAGTGTGCGAATGCTGAGGAAGTAGGAGTCACACAGACAGAGTTACAATGCGATTACCGGAGAGGTGCATAACGGCACTTTATGGCACAAGTGTGGACATTAAACAAAATAAAATTGCTGAGAAAAATCTATTTACAAAATCCATAAAACCCTGTCTTTGGGATTACATCTCAGAAATTACATCAATAAAACAAGGGCGGCCATAACCCACAGTGAAGGTCTCAGGGTCTGTTGTTGCAGTGTGTCTTGGACTTGTAGAGAAAAAGAGGATTTGTTTACAAATTTAAATCTAGTTTTAAATCGATTTTTCTTCTGCAGCTTTGAAAAAGGGACGATTCTGGATCACTCCTGACCCCTACCACAATGACGACAACATCCAGATTGGACGTGAAGTCAAGATATCTTGTCAGGTACAGTCAAAAAGTATTCCCAGAGTAAACACAGTAGTTAAAATAAGTCATTTTTCAGTGTAATACACATCAGGCAATGAATGTTCTAGGTCGAGGCGACCCCACCAGAGGAGCTGACGTTTAGCTGGCTGAAGAACGGGCGTGGGCTGCGGAGCTCGGAGCGTATGGTCATCACCCAGACGGACCCTGACATCTCCCCAGGGACCACCAACCTGGACATCATAGACCTCAAGTTCACCGACTTCGGCACGTACACCTGTGTGGCTGCTCTGAAGGGAGGAGGCATCCCCGAGATTAGCATCGACGTCAACATCTCCTCCACAACTGGTGAGCCTCACACCCCTTTGTGTCAGCGAAGCATCTTCACACCTCCCCCAACATATATGACACAAACACGCACACACACTGAACGTCACTATTGTCTGTGAAAGAAAAACATATAGTTTCTTATGCTGGAGAGAGAAAAACACAGTTTTTAACAATCTCAGTCACATGTGTATAGTTTCTGCTGTCAATCCTGTCAGTTTTAATATAATTTTAATTACATTGTCTTATCATAGCTGTTTCTATGGAAGTAAAAATGGACACTGTAAATAGTTATTTAGAATAAAATATATTTTACTATAATATATAATTATAATCACTCTTTAATAATATTATAATCTATAATAATACCTGTTAGTTGTTCTACAACTGACAGGTCTAAAAGTTTTTCCCAGATATCACCAGTCAAAGGAGTCATATGATGCTTTTCAGTTTTTCTTTCCTCTAGACTGTTATATAGTTTTCTGTGAATTTAACGAAGCAACAATGAAGCAATAATAAAAAGTGTTTTTTTTTCTTTAGAGGGGCAGTTCATCCAAATTCTCACAGATTTAATGATCTAGTGGTTTCTAGTAGTGTAGTTGCTGAGGTTTTCACACATATGCCACTGAAGATGCACCTGAGCAAAGCAGAAGAGGAAGAAAATTCCTCTGTGGTTCTCACAGCTGCATTGCAGTTGCAATTTTAACCATTTTTTCACTTTGTCCAGAAAGGAAAATCTCACGTCAAATAAAAATTGACAGCGAGCTCTCTAAATTATCCATAGTAACTTTGACTTCTCTGGAACAGTCTCAATGACAAGTATCTTACAACCTCTGCAGATGAAACAACAGCTACCTGCAGTGAGCAGGAGATTTGGTTGAACTGTTCCTTTAAACCTCTTTCTTGGACGGTCCCCACAGGTTAGGACTGTATATGCATATCCTCATTAGACTATTGTTAACTGCCTGATTCAATTCCAGTATTCTCTCCAAGGCTGAAAACCACTGTATTCTATTGTATTTTCAGTTACTGCACGCAGCATTGTATTACAGCGCCAACACCACTGTTTTCCATTGACTGTTTAATCAGATTCCTTTGAACCAAAGCCGACTCCATCAGTCCAACTAATCAGAGACTAAACATCCATCGTCCCTCCATCTAATTGGCTGCTTCCACAACTGCTCCGACTAACGTTTGTATACATGTGTACAGCATGTTGATAACACAACATCAGTCCACCTTGTCCACAGAGCTGTATAATTGTAATTTCAATCATGGCATGTACAGAAGTCTCTTAGAAAGAGAGCACTGTTGCAGCGGCCTGTCCCTGTCTTTTTTTAGATCCTCTGCTTCTCTATTGTAACATCAGTAATAATAAAATCAGGACTTTGTCATAGCAAGAATAATCAAAGGTTATAATCAGCTGTCAAATGTGTTATTCAATCTGCTGTCGTAGACTTGAATTAATCCAACCTTCTCCATCTCAGATAAAAGAGAAAAGCCTGGAACAACTTTAGAGGCTAGAAAAAGAGAGTTTGAATTTTAGCACAATAAACAACATGTTCTTCTACATGTTCTCAAATGCAGTGGTTAGAGAGACAAAGAGGGAAAACGTGTAACAGCACAGGAATGGTGGTCTTTGTGCGTACGAGCATAAAATGTGTGGTAACGTTCCAGTGTCACCATGCATTACTTCATCACCCATCGACTCCACTGAGGGATGTGACCCCGATCAACACAACGCCTCAGAGATGCCTCGATTGGGAGTTTCCTGCTTGCTCACTCATCCCTATCCAGATCTTCCATGTGTATGGTGTTGGGGGGGTGACTCTCATGGGTTGTTGTTGCGACAGGTGAAGTAAATATGAGTTTTTGCTTTGAATTTTACTGGCGTGTGTTCAGTACCAATAAGTGACTTTTTGGGTTGTGTGATGTTGTGCGACTTGAGATCGCAAGCTTTAGTTCCCTTTATATGCTTATGCTGCACACACACACATTGGCAGACTCCTACACTTTCTTCTTCTCTCAGCGTCTTGTTTTTCACACACCTCGCTGCCACTCACAGCGTGAACATGAAAGCAGCGTGTCAACCTTGGGTGCATAATTATCGTTAGATAATCCTTTGATAATCCCAACGCTATAAAACAGTGGGATCAGTCGTACCTGCCAAGATTGTTTCCTCATTATCTTTTAAGTGGTGCGGCCTCTTATTTTGGAGTTCCAGGGCGATAGCAATATATTCACACAGACCCTTTAATGTGTAAAATAAGTCTGAGAAAATAAGTGAGGAAATAAGTGTGATTGAATGAAATTGAACATTTCCTCAAGGCTTAGATGTGATCGCTTCTTATTCTTTTATCGTTCACGTCAGATGTGCAGGTATGGAATATTAAAAAAACTGCTGCTTTGTCATAGAGCTGTCCCTGTCATTGGAAATAATGCATTAAATTTTGCTTCTGCTGGTTACTATTCCTGCTGCTTTACCAGGATGTGACTGGGCTGTTTTCCCGCTGAATGCCTGTTATGCGTGATGTTTCTTTCAGTCAGATTGATGGCATGAATCAAAGGAGTGTCTTCGCTAAGCGGAACACTATAGCGCTTGTGTACTAAAGCGCTGTGTGCCTCAGCCTCGCCTTACGCCTGCAGCTTGTTTTGGGGTGAATAAGCCCCGTTTTTGTTCCTCTGCCTGTTCTCCTGAAGGGAGAAACCCAGAATCGCAATTAGACGTCTTAATAAAAGCGTTTAGAGGAGATTACACCGTAGGTCTGCCAGCGTTTTGTGCTGGGGAAGTGGTTGGAAAGCGATTGAGCCGAAAGTGTAGAGTCTGAACGCTTCGGAGCTCGCAGGCTGTTCCAGTGTTGGCCCCGGTTCCAGATTCCAAACCCAAGCTTAGTCCCAGCCACAGCAGGGCCTTGATAAAAGAGAATATTTATTGCATCCATTTCTTTCAACTTTTGATGAACACAGATTGCAGCACGTTTCATGATTTCTCCCTTTTGCCAAACAGCACTAATATTTACTATCGTGACATACTCATTAAGTAAGCGACTTCTCTTCTCGTCAGGACTTCCAGAGATTGCGAGGCTAATGCTTATTTATGAGCGGGGTCTGGAAACGAGGACACAGACCTCCCCTTTGGATACTGTCAGGATTAAGAAAGCATAAGACAAAGGAACAGTCGAAAAGAGTTACGATCATTAGTGTAAAGCATAAAACATCCCATAAACTTCTAACAGGGTCGAGCTGATTAATCCTCACATTAGCTTGTGTGTTTGGTGGGTGAGTCTTTCTCGCTTATTGTTGGACAATGTGATTATTGCCACTCTGCGTCTGTGGAAAAGAAATGTTATTTCTTATTCAACTTGAGCTGCCGTTGGGACCATCTCAGAGATTTTGATAGCATGTGGAGTTATTGTGGATGGATTTCTGACAATTATAGCCAGTTTTCAACTCTAATTAACAAAGCTGACACCCACTCAGTGCACTCAATGTCTGTACTTATTACGAACACTGGATTCTGCCATCTCAGTTAAAGAAACCCACATTACATTCTTCCAGTCGTGACGATAATAGTCCCTGTTGATGCATCTCATCATCAGCACACAACAGCAGCTCATCTCTGATGTGATTGACGATCACAAAGTAAGTATTGGGATTGAAAGTCACTTCTCTCTAGTCGTGAGGCGGATAAATTCCTCCATGATGAGTCCTGCAATTAGCACCCAGTGTTTCTGTCAATTTTAAGAATCACTGCAGTTAATGAATTAAGCAAATCAATTAAGTCGCAGTTGATTAAAAAATGAGCCGGTTTAATAATCACAATGTACAGGCTTTTTACTCTGAAATGAATTTGAGTCATCTGAAGCTCACAGCAGACTTGCTCATCTCTAGTCTATTGCCCTTCCAACCGTTGTCTGGTTGATTCTGATTCACCATGAGCTGCCATCATCCGAGTGACCGTGCCACATGTGAGTCTAATATGGACTGCATGACCGCTGGCTGTCGACTGTGCTGATGTGTTTGTTTCTGCTGCAAATTCACTGACCCCGTTAAAGAGAAACCTGGTCTGCATCCTGACTCACCAATACAGAGCTAAAGTTCAACTGCTGTTTGGTCCTTGTGAGTGGACACAAATTGTTGGTTGTTATATTCCACCCTCTGAGGAGGTTATGCTATAATTGCTGTTGTTTTTTGTTTGATTGTGAGCATGATTACATAAAACTTATTTTATAAAATTTTGTGGAGGGGTGCAGCGTAACCCAAAGAGGAACTGTCCATGCTCCAAGTGTCCTTCTACTTCCTACATGTTTGTACATGTGGAGCTTTCACAGAATGTGAAATGTGAATTCATTGATGTTGGTTGATCGACAGTAAATGTCTCAATAAGTGGCCAGAAACAAAGAAGTATAGCTCAAATTTAAAGGCTTATTATTCTTAAAACAATCTGTTCTTGTTTTCTCAAAGAGGTGAAAAGAGCAGGCCTCTGGTTTTGTGGCTGAAGAGGGCTGCTTAATATTAGCCTAAACTTTAATAGGCGAGTTTCCACACGGTAGAGAAATACCATAGAAGAAGCCTCCTTCACCGCCACAACAAACTCCAATCGTGGATTTAGAAATGTTAAAGACCACCCTCCACTTTTAAATGCAAAATAAACTGCAGCCCCACTTTAACATGTGGTCAAATCCAGGGATGCTTCACTGTGATTGGACAATTACTCTGTCTTGCAACTGAACTGATTCTTTAAAACCATCCACATTCAAAAATGTTTGATGCTATAAATGAAAAAGAAAAATAAGCCTGTTCTATATTTGTAAAATCACATACAAAACCAAATAATATTTTTAAGATGCAATATTAAGAAATTAGCTGCAAAGTGTATGAGCTGTAGATCCACACATTAGATAAATAGGCCAATTCAAGTCTCAAAATGGTCCCAAGCTGTGAACTGGGAACGAACAGGCCTAACAGCTGTCCCACAGCTGGGACGCTGTCCTGACAAATCTGCGGTATGACAACAGTCG